GTTTTCTTGATGTATATGAAAGTGCATTATGTGAATTATTGCGTCCTAAACGCCCATTTGTGAAAATGACACCCTTTTAGATTTTGTATCTTTATTTGTCGTAATGTTATGTATGCTAATGATGTCTTCCGAATAGGCGTTTTTGAGCAAAAAAACAAATTAAGTCTTCTTGTTCGACAAATTGAAAGTTGATTATGCGAATCGCTTTTCGTCCATTGTGGAAAAATCCACTGCCGTCTCCCATAGGAGTATGGGCCATGTCTCAATCCCAGTGCAACTGATCAATCCTTTCGAACTAATTATTGATCATTATCTTTGTAAACTATTGTCTCGCCAACTAGCTAATCAGACTTAAGTCCTCGAATATTATTATATACATTATATTGTAATGTGTAGAAAATCGGATACAATTATTAGATCATTTGCAAATGAATGTATTGATTTGACCAAGTCGGAAAAATTGGTTATATTGAGGGTTATTTGGGATTATTAATTAGTGCAATAAAACTTGAGGACATTATTATAGAAAAGGTTAAAATTTTGATTTTTTTGGTTTTTATTCATATTTTGAAAACATGTTGACAAAATTACAATTAGATAACAATAATAATAATAAAAAAAAAAACTAGAGAAATAAACAAGTGAGCGATTAGATTGAAGAATGAATTTCTCTTTTTTAAGGAGATTTATGCTCTCTCCTATATTTGGATTTCAAGTAAGACATATGTCAAGAATCTCACGACTTTATCCTACGAGATTCAATAACCAAACATTTTATTGTATTACTCAAACCATTTTGCACTACAAGTCGAACTCGAAGCTTGGTTATAGAACTTAACTAAAAAACTCTCATGGTAAATTATAATCATGTAGAATGTTTTGTATATGAAATGTAATAGAGATGTCATGTTTATGTAACTTTTTTACTACCCCTACAATTTTAGAAATAATGCTCCTATTTTATATAATTCATGCACCCCAGATATTCTATTAATTAATTTATTTGCACAATAACCTTTCATGTTTCTATTTATAAACATAGGGGAGAATTGCAGCCACGATATCAAATCTTCCATTTTGTTGTCGACTTGATCCAAACTTTTTGTTGACGTCGAAAATTGTATAAACAAAATTCAAGTCAACTTCTTGTGTAAATAAAGATTTTTATTGATAATTACTTATAAACTACAAATGTTTTTATCAAATGAGATATTTGAAATATGAAGTTGTTAGGCTCTCTCCCTCCTTTCCCTGATAATACCGTCCCCCTTTTTATAGGAAATGATGAGCATGTATCTTTCATATTCATGTCTTGTCAACAACAGTAGCGAACTGGGGACTTGTGCCAATGTTTTAAGTCCTGATTGGTTGCTGTCAAATCAACATATAGTACCGAGTTGGGAAGGTATGTCAATGGCATATCCTGATTGGTTGCTGAGGTCAGCTCCATCAAGTTATCATGAAGCCATCTTAAATGGGACCCCTAGTAATTGATGAATTGATTAGAGAATGAAACTATAGCATATAATTGGTGGAACTGGTGGGCGTTGACGTAAATCATTCCAAATGTCATTAATTGATTGAATGTTTTGACAGTGTATAAGGAATTTACACTCATTATGTCTCCTCAAACCACAGCGATCATAAGTACGAGTTGACCTAGCAAATTTGACTTTAATTTAGCATGAGCTAAGTGCATATAGCAAACGAACTTAATTAAGTCGTAGGTCGAATGTCAACACTTTTCATTTTGTCACCCATGGTACCATCCTTCTAAAAATTTGTACTTGGAAGTTCAAATATAAGGAAACTATAAGTTCATCCATTAGTTGACCAAAAGTCAACAATTTGACCAACTTTAGGCTAATTTTTAAAGAGTAAAAAGGTAACTTTACATTTTTCATATAAAAGAATTAAAATAGTTAAAGAAAAAAATCAAAATAAAAAAGTAATATTCTTCAAGTCACCCCACCCCCAACCCCAACCCAAAACAAACTACCATCTCCACCAAGAATCACCGCCACCAAAAATCGTTGGCAAACTGCCAACACCTCACTACTTTCCTCATCCCAAAAAGTTATCTTCTGTTGTCGCCTCCTTCTCTCCTGCCATGGTCTCCATAGCTGCCTATCACTGCAAACTACGACAACCAAGGCTGGCCCTGGCCCAAGACAAACTAGGCCATGGCCTTGGGCCTCATAATTTTGAGGGGCCTCAAGACGGGAAAAAAGGGTCCTAAAAGCTGCCTCTAATTTTAATACCTTCCAAACAAAGCCTTTCCGGAACTGGCTTTCTTAATTTCTTTAAATTCTTTGCTCTTCTTAGTTTTCAATTTATATATATATATTTTTTGGGATCCTGTAGCGTAGGGGCAGTTATATTAGTTGTTTCTGTACTTCCTCGGTTCTTTATAATGATCTCGATTATTTTAAACTGTAAAGCTTTGATAAATTTCATTTTATGGATGTTAAGATCATACACAAGGAAATGCATATTCACAAGGTCGACCAAGCAATTTTTTTTGACTTGATACTAATGTAGATCTAAACAATTCCAAACAATATCCTGGGGTACTCCGTACTTACAAAAATACCCTTAAA